CCTCCTCGTCCTCCTCCTCCTCCTCCGCCTCCTCCTCCTCCTCCTCCTCCGCCTCCTCCTCCCCCTCCTCCTCCTCCTCCTCCTCCTCCTCCTCCTCCTGCTCTGACGGTCCGCTCCTACGGGCCTCCCGGCCCTCTTTCGTCTCATGGCGCCGACATCGCAGAGCGGATTTCGTTCGGAAAATCATGGGATGGGCTCGGACTGTCCTTGAGAATTTTGCGTTCCGGATTTCGACGTGCATTTCGTGCCGGTTTTCTGGGGGCCCGGAAGGAAGACCACAAGTCCGCGTGGAATGTCGCAGCTGTTTTGGCTCGAGCCATTCCAGCTCGGGGTAGGTCGGCGGCCACCCGCGGCGGAGTGCCCCCCTCGCGGCCCGTCCCGCGGCGGTGCCCGGCGCGCGCGCGCTGCGCGCCATGGCGGGCCTGGACGAGCGCGCCCTGGAGGCCGCTCTCGCGGGCCTGCGCGAGGAGCTGCGGGGCGGCCTGGACCGCCTGGAGAGGCTGTGGGGCGACCCCCTCGACGCGGGCGGCGCCCTCCGCCAGGCCCTGCGCGCGGAGCTGCTGCGCCCGCCGAGGGGGCGGGCGCGGCTGCTGGAGCGGCGGCCCGCCTCGCCGGGGGGGCGGCAGAGGCCTTCGCTCTCGTCGCCGGGGGCGCGGAGCGACGGGAGCGACTGGACGGGGACCCAGAGCGAGAGGAGCGGCGAGGCGTGCGCTGCCGCGGGTCGCCCGTCGCCAGGGGTCCAGAGCGTCGGGAGCGACTCGACGTTCGCGGCCGCGGGTCGCGGCGGCGGCGGCAGGGCTCGGCGGAGGGGCAGAGACGTAGCCACGCCCGAGCCAGTGTTCTCCAAGGAGACCCTCGGCGCGCGGCGGGCGGCGTGGAGGTTGTTACATCGCCACGGCACTGCATTCGACTTCGTCATCGGCCTGATCATCGTCTTGAGTTCCATCATGCTGGGGGTGGAGATTCAGTGTGATCTGGACGGCAATGCAGCCTGCACGCAGAGGGCCCATGATCTAGAGCATGTTTTCCTGTCGATCTTCATAGTGGAGCTGGTCATCCGCGTACTTGCTGACGGCCTGGGCAATTTCCGCAGCAAGTGGTTCCGATTCGACTTCATTTTGGTTATGATGGGAGTGTTTTCCACCTGGGTGGTACATCCCATTGTGGAAAGTACCTCGGACGACGCTGAAGGACGACTGTTGCTCGACATTATGTCCAAGGTGCTAGTGCTGCGGATACTGCGACTCACCCGCCTCGTGCGCGCTCTGCGCATCTTCGAGCAGTTTCAGGAGATGTGGAAGCTTGCGAATGGCCTCCTGCGCTCGTTCCGGACTGTTATGTCCGCCTGCATCATGATATTATTGACGGTATTCGTGTTTGCTTGTCTCGGCGTTGAGCTGATCTTTCAGGATTCTTCCTTGATGGGAGATCCAGTGACCGCAGACGTTATCCAGGATCATTTCCGATCTCTGCCGGTAGCGATGTTCACCTTGGTTCAGTTCGCAAACGCAGACTCCATTGCAAGCGTGTACATGCCTATCGTGACTAAGGCATGGTATATGGGAGTCTATTTTGGATTTGTCTGGCTCATCGTGACTATCAAACTGATGAACTTGATTACTGCTGTCATTGTGGACAACGCCATCACACAAGCCGACGAAGATCGAGAGATGGACCTGATTGTTAGGCGAGGCAAGTTGAGGGATCTTGAACCTCACGTCGAAGAAGTCTTTCAGACTCTCACCGAGAAGGCCGGAACGAAGAACCTCAGCTTGAAGGACTTCAGATCTGGATTGGAAGACATGATGCAGGCGCACGTCTTGAGAGATTTGCCGCCAGAACTCAGGAAGGTTTTAGCTTCGGACCAGATCGTAGACGTCTGCAGTTATCTCGACGCCGATCGCTCGGGCGAGATCGACCAAGGCGAGTTCGTGGACGGCATCTTCAACTTGATGCTCCAGTCCGTCCCCGTCGAGACCACCCAGATGCTCCAGATGCTGCGCTCACAGGTTGGCGGCGAGCGAGGGGGGGGGATTGAGAAGGGGCGGGCCTTCTCAGAAGTCTCGGAAGTTCCGCGGCCTTCTGAGAAGTTTCCTGAGCCTTCCCCGGAGACAGAGAAAATTCTAGACGCTTCGCGTATCCCCACCAGTATTTGACGCCGTATGCGTCTCAATGAGGGTAATGTTGTCCCTGGCACGTGCATACGCTACTGCGGCCAGTTATCTTCGTACCGCGCCCCGGACGTTGACCCGCTCCATGTCCCTCGCCTTGGAGCTGCGAACCAAAAAAAGCGTATCCCCACCAGCCCGTCCAGAAATGAGTCCCAGGGGAGTGGAGGTTATGGGGGAAGCGGGGGAGCATGCAGAAGAACAAAGGGCGGGGAGAGCTGCCATATTCCCCAAGAGGGGGAGGATGTAGGAGGAGTCGTCGCCGTCGGAGTAGGAGGAGGAAGAGGAAGAGCAGGAGGAGGAGCAGGAGCAGGAGGGGGAGGAGGAAGCTAGGGGGAGGAGAGGAGGAGAGGGAGGAGAAAGTGAGGAGCGGATGAGGAGGACGGGAGATGGAGGACTTGCGAAGGGCGAGGATAGAGAAGGAGGAACATGAGAAGACGAGGAGGAGGAGGGAGGGGAGGAGAGGAGGAGGAGGGAGAGGAGGGATGAAGGAGAGGAGGAAGGGAGGGGGAGGAGAGGAGAAGAAAGGAAGGAGGAGGAGGATGATGAGGCAATGGGGAGGCTTGGGGCCGCTTGGGCCGTCCGTTTGGGGCCTCTTGGCGGTCCAGGGGGCCTCTTGCGTATATCGGGGAGCCTCTTGTGGCCTCTTGGGGGTCTCTTGGGGGCCTCTTGGAGGCCTCTTGGGGGCCTCTTGGAGGCCTCTTGGGGGCCTCTTGGGGCGCTCTTGGGGCGCTCTTGGGAGCCTTCGGGGCGTTCGTGGGGCCATCTTGGAGGAGATCTATCAAAGAATGGAGGGGTCGTATATTAGCGCTGCCCCTCTAGAGTGCCTCGAATCGCCTCTGAGGCCCTTCTTGAGGCCAGAATCGGTCGAAAACCTAAAGAAGTACGCGTTTTTGTAGCTGTTTCGCTTTTTCGCTCTTGGAGCCGTCTTGGGCCATCTTGGGAGCCTCTTGGGGCCTCTTGGGGTCTCTTGAGAGCTTCTTGAAGGCCTCTTGGGGGCCTCTTGGGGTCCTCTTGGGGCGCTCTTGGGGCGCTCTTGGGAGCCTTCGGGGCGCTCTTGGGGCCATGTTGGAGGAGATCTATCAAAGAAGGGGGGTCGTATATGAGCCTTGCCCCTCTAGAGTGCCTCGACTCGCCTCTTGGTCCCCCCCCAAGAGGTCAAAACCCTTTCAAAACCTACGGAAAATCAATGTTTTGTGCTTTTTCGCTTTTTCGCTCTTGGAGCTGTCTTGGGCCATCTTGGACGTCCCAACGACCCGCGGAACCCCTCGTCCAGGTCGGTGGGGAGGGGTAAGGGGAGGGGTAAACCCCTCCCCGAAGGGAAAGAAGGGGGCTGGCAGAGGAAACGCTCTAGACCACCTACGCCCTAAAGGGCTGGTGGGGCTTCTCAGAAGCCGCGAGGGCTGCCGAGGAGCCCCGCCGCCTTCTGAGAAGGCCTTCCCCCTCTCGGTCCCCCCCCCCTCGCCCGCCGCCGATCAGGGCGACGCGATGAGACACATCGAGAGGATGCTCGCTGACTCGTAGGGCCGTCCGCTGGCCGCCCACCGCTCCGTCCTGGCATCGCTCGGACGTGTGCACCTTTTTCTCGGCGAGCACCGTCGAGGAGCATCCTCGATCACTTGGCGAAAAAAATATGCTAACGGAGTTCCCCACATAAAGAGATTAACGGTTTCGTGGGACCCACTTTCTTGATGCCCTCCTCGCTTTGGCGGGGCCCCGCTTGGGAGGGGCACGAAACCATGTAAATAGTATGGTATTCCGATACCCTCCTCGCTCAGGCGGGGCCTCCCTGGAGGGTGGGAGGGGCACGAAACCATGTAAATAGTATGGTATTCCGATACCCTCCTCGCTCAGGCGGGGCCTCCCTGGAGGGGTGGGAGGGGCACGAAACCATGTAAATAGTATGGTATTCCGATACCCTCCTCGCTCAGGCGGGGCATCCCTGGAGGGGTGGGAGGGGCACGAAACCATGTAAATAGTATGGTATTCCGATACCCTCCTCGCTCAGGCGGGGCCTCCCTGGAGGGGTGGGAGTGGCACGAAACCATGTAAATAGTATGGTATTCCGATACCCTCCTCGCTCAGGCGGGGCCTCCCTGGAGGGGTGGGAGGGGCACGAAACCATGTAAATAGTATGGTATTCCGATACCCTCCTCGCTCAGGCGGGGCCTCCCTGGAGGGGTGGGAGGGGCACGAAACAATGTAAATAGTATGGTTTTCCGATACCCTCCTCGCTCAGGCGGGGCCTCCCTGGAGGTGTGGGAGGGGCACGAAACAATGTAAATAGTATGGTTTTCCGATACCCTCCTCGCTCAGGCGGGGCCTCCCTGGAAGGGGTGGGAGGGGCACGAAGCCATGTAAATAATATGGTTGTCCGATACCCTCCTCGCTCAGGCGGGGCCTCCCTGGAGGAGTGGGAGGGGCACGAAACAATGTAAATAGTATGGTTTTCGGATACCCTCCTCGCTCAGGCGGGGCCTCCCTGGAGGGGTGGGAGGGGCACGAAACCATGTAAATAGTATGGTTTTCCGATACCCTCCTCGCTCAGGCGGGGCCTCCCTGGAGGGGTGGGAAGGGCACGAAACCATGTAAATAGTATGGTATTCCGATACCCTCCTCGCTCAGGCGGGCCTCCCTGGAGGGGTGGGAGGGGCACGAAACCAGGTAAATAGTATGGTATTCCGATACCCGCCTCGCTCAGGCGGGGCCTCCCTGGAGGGGTGGGAGGGGCACGAAACCATGTAAATAGTATGGTATTCCGATACCCTCCTCGCTCAGGCGGGGCCTCCCTGGAGGGGTTGGAGGGGCACGAAACCATGTAAATAGTATGGTATTCCGATACCCTCCTCGCTCAGGCGGGGCCTCCCTGGAGGGGTGGGAGGGGCACGACACCATGTAAATAGTATGGTATTCCGATACCCTCCTCGCTCAGGCGGGGCCTCCCGGGAGGGGTGGGAGGGGCACGAAACCATGTAAATAGTATGGTATTCCGATACCCTCCTCGCTCAGGCGGGGCCTCCCTGGAGGGGTGGGAGGGGCACGAAACCATGTAAATAGTATGGTATTCCGATACCCTCCTCGCTCAGGCGGGGCCTCCCTGGAGGGGTGGGAGGGGCACGAAACCATGTAAATAGTATGGTATTCCGACACCCTCCTCGCTCAGGCGGGGCCTCCCTGGAGGGGTGGGAGGGGCACGAAACCATGTAAATAGTATGGTATTTCGATACCCTCCTCGCTCAGGCGGGGCCTCCCTGGAGGGGTGGGAGGGGCACGAAACCATGTAAATAGTATGGTATTCCGATACCCTCCTCGCTCAGGCGGGGCCTCCCTGGAGGGGTGGGAGGGCCACGAAACCATGTAAATAGTATGGTATTCCGATACCCTCCTCGCTCAGGCGGGGCCTCCCTGGAGGGGTGGGAGGGGCACGAAGCCATGTAAATAGTATGGTATTCCGATACCCTCCTCGCTCAGGCGGGGCCTCCCTGGAGGGGTGGGAGGGGCACGAAACCATGTAAATAGTATGGTATTCCGATACCCTCCTCGCTCAGGCGGGGCCTCCCTGGAGTGGTGGGAGGGGCACGAAACCATGCAAATAGTATGGTATTCCGATACCCTCCTCGCTCAGGCGGGGCCTCCCTGGAGGGGTGGGATGGGCACGAAACATGTAAATAGTATGGTATTCCGATACCCTCCTCGCTCAGGCGGGGCCTCCCTGGAGGGGTGGGAGGGGCACGAAACCATGTAAATAGTATGGTATTCCGATACCCTCCTCGCTCAGGCGGGGCCTCCCTGGAGGGGTGGGAGGGGCACGAAACCATGTAAATAGTATGGTATTCCGATACCCTCCTCGCTCAGGCGGGGCCTCCCTGGAGGGGTGGGAGGGGCACGAAACCATGTAAATAGTATGGTATTCCGATACCCTCCTCGCTCAGGCGGGGCCTCCCTGGAGGGGTGGGAGGGGCACGAAACCATGTAAATAGTATGGTATTCCGATACCCTCCTCGCTCAGGCGGGGCCTCCCTGGAGGGGTGGGAGGGGCACGAAACCATGTAAATAGTATGGTATTCCGATACCCTCCTCGCTCAGGCGGGGCCTCCCTGGAGGGGTGGGAGGGGCACGAAACCATGTAAATAGTATGGTATTCCGATACCCTCCTCGCTCAGGCGGGGCCTCCTTGGAGGGGTGGGAGGGGCACGAAACCATGTAAATAGTATGGTATTCCGATACCCTCCTCGCTCAGGCGGGCCTCCCTGGAGGGGTGGGAGGGGCACGAAACCATGTAAATAGTATGGTATTCCGATACCCTCCTCGCTCAGGCGGGGCCTCCCTGGAGGGGTGGGAGGGGCACGAAACCATGTAAATAGTATGGTTTCCGATACCCTCCTCGCTCAGGCGGGGCCTCCCTGGAGGTGTGATATGGTATGGTATGCTATGGTACGCCATGGTATGGTATGGTACGGTATGGTACGTATGGTGTGGTATGGTATGGTACGGTATGGTACGTATGGTGTGGTATGGTATGGTATGGTATGGTATGGTGATGGAGCGGGAGGTGGGTGGGAAGGAGAGGGTGTTCTGGAAAATTTATGCTAACGGAGTTCCCCACATAAAGAGATTAACGGTTTCGTGGGACCCATTTTCTTGATGCCCTCCTCGCGACGCTGGGAGGGGCACGAAACCATGCCGATACCTTCCTCGCTCAGGCTGGGCTCCCTGGAGGGGTGGGAGGGGCACGAAACCATGTAAATAGTATGGTATTCCGATACCCTCCTCGCTCAGGCGGGGCCTCCCTGGAGGGGTGGGAGGGGCACGAAACCATGTAAATAGTATGGTATTCCGATACCCTCCTCGCTCAGGCGGGGCCTCCCTGGAGGGGTGGGAGGGGCACGAAACCATGTAAATAGTATGGTTTTCCGATACCCTCCTCGCTCAGGCGGGGCCTCCCTGGAGGGGTGGGAGGGGCACGAAACCATGTAATAGTAAGGCGTCCCTGGATCACGAAACGACCCTCCTCGCTCAGGCAGGCCTCCCTGGAGGGGTCCCTGGAGGGTGGGAGGGGCACGAAACCATGTAAATAGTATGGTATTCCGATACCCTCCTCGCTCAGGCGGGGCCTCCCTGGAGGGGTGGGAGGGGCACGAAACCATGTAAATAGTATGGTATTCCGATACCCTCCTCGCTCAGGCGGGGCCTCCCTGGAGGGGTGGGAGGGGCACGAAACCATGTAAATAGTATGGTTTGCGGATGCCCTCCTCGCTCAGGCGGGGCCTCCCTGGAGGGGTGGGAGGGGCACGAAACCATGTAAATAGTATGGTATTCCGATGCCCTCCTCGCTCAGGCGGGGCCTCCCTGGAGGGGTGGGAGGGGCACGCCATGGTATGGTATGGTACGGTATGGTACGTATGGTGTGGTATGGTATGGTATGGTCTGGTAGGTGTGGTAGGAACGATGGTATGGTAGGGTGTGTGTGGTAGGAATAATATTGTGCTGTATGGAAGATGGAGCGGGAGGTGGGTGGGAAGGAGAGGGTGTTCTGGGAAAACAAGAACCCCACTCAGGATGTGGGGAAAAAAAACACGCACGACACCGAAACAAAACACAGGGAATGGACGTCCGAGCGATGGCGGGTCCGTGGCCGCGGGGGACGTGCGCACGCCGCCCGTGCCGCCTCGCGCCCGCCGGGGGAGGGCAGGCAGGCAGGACGGCCGCCCCTGGGCCGCGGCCGCACAACAGGGTGCGAGGCCACCGCGGCTGCGGCCCGCCGTCGCAAGGCTTGGCCTGGAGGAGGTCGAGGTGGAGGGCTTGGCATCGCTCGGGCGTGTGCATTTTTCCTTCGGCGAGGACCATCGAGGAGCATCCTTGATCATTTGGCGAAAAAAGCACGCACGAAGCAAAAAAAAACTCAGGGAATGGACGTCCGAGCGATGGCCAGAGGGGGGAGGATGGCATTGTGGTGGGGGTCGGCGGAGGAAAAGGCACCCCTACCTCCACCCTTCGCCCGTTTGCCCCCTCTCTGGGGCCTCCCTGGAGGCCCCCTCGCTGTTATTTTGCCGGATTCGCCCCGAGGTTCTGGCCAGGACGCACCCCAGGAGAGAGGTCCCGGGAGTCGCGGCATCGGAACCTTTGGGCTTCCCCAGGGGGGGGGGGGGGGCGATTGGGGCAGGAGAGGCAGTCCGTCGGTGCCCGGCAGCGGCGCCGCTCCGCGGCGCGCGGGGCCACCGTCGGGGCACCACCCCCGTGCAGCTGCGGGCGGGGCTCGGGGAGGTGCGGCGCTCCGCTGCAGCGCGCCTGCCTCCGCGCCGCCGCATCATCCCCTCTCTTCCTCCCCGCTCCCTCCGCGCACACCCTCGCGGCCTCTCCGCCTCGGGCACCGCCCGACCAGGCGGAGGCAGGGAGGAGGGAGGAGGGAGGAGGGAGGAGGGTTGAGGGAGGAGGGAGGAGGGAGGAGGAGGAGGAGGAGGAGGAGGAGGAGGAGGAGGAGGAGGAGGAGGAGGAGGGTCTGGAGGCAGGATCGGAACTCGGTCTCTCCCGCGGCGGCTTCTCGCTTCTGCCCCGCGGGAGGCGAGACTGTGCGAGCGCTGCTGGCGAAGCCCCGGCAGGTGCACGCACGCGCCGGGTCGCGCGGGCTCAGCATCGCCGCCCGTCGCACACAGCTGCATGCTCAGACCTGGCTTCCAGCCTCTGTACTTTCTCTTCGGGGAACAAAAAATGGCATAGACATAAAAACTTGGAGGTCCGCGCGGATTTCTCGGATCGGCGTTGGGGCCCCCCGGCGGCGCCTCCGGCGCCGCCCCTGGCGCGCTCCGCGCGCCAGGGAGGGGTGTCCAGCGCCGATCCGAGAAATCCGCGCGAACCTCAGAGTTTTTATGTTCATGTCACTTTTTGTTCCCTTATTTATGTGGGGAGAGCCCCAGAGACGCGCGTCCATGTGAACAGCTGAGGACGTTTACATGCTGCAGGCCTTGAATTCGAGCCACTTGCTCGTGGTAGCCTTTGGCAGGAGGCACAATAGCAATAGACACCAAAAAATCCGAGTGGAAGTCACTTCGTTTTCCGCTCGCCGTTTCGGGTGTTTTGCAGTGACAAAAATCCACCAAACATCAGCTGCAGCACGTCCACAGACATGCGACGTCTTGATGTTTTCAGCACGGCGTCCCTGGAAGTCCCGACCCTTTCCCCGGGACCGGTTCTTCGTCCCGAGTCGTTTTTGGACGGTCCCGAGGCCCGGCGAGGGCCCCCCGAGGCCGAACGTGGCCAAACACCTCCCGCCCTGATGCTTTCTTCGCGACGCGATCGTGTCGAGGAGGTCCACGCAACAATCCGCTGCAGCACGTCTGCAAGGCCGGTGCAGTGATGAGTGGCGCGGTCTCCTGCGCCCTCCCTGGCCACATGCATCGTGTTAAGTCGGGCCTGTCCCCCCACGGGCCGATATTGGGTGAAAAAAACAAAAATAGTGACAAACAAATGCCATAAGATATTCCAAAATGGTCCAACAATCGTCCCAATACTATTCGTTCACTATCTTGGAACATTGCTCCCGTAGAGGGGGAGGCCCGAGGCGGTTGTCGACAAAGCGATTCAGAACACAATGAACTATTCCGAAATGGTGAGAAAATCGTCCCAATACTATTTAAAAAATATCTTTGAGTATTCCTCCTGTAGAGGGACAGGCCCGAGGCCGTGGTCGACAAAGCTATTGAACATTACCATAAGATAGTCCAACATGGTAAAAAAATGTCCCGAGATTATGTTTTCCTACCTTTGAACATTCCTCCTGTAGAGGGACAGGCCCGAGGCGGTGATCGACAAAGCCATTGAAAAATACCGTATAAGAGATTCCGAAATGGTCAGAAAATCGTCCCAAGACTAATTTTTCACTATCTTTGAGTATCCTTCCTGTAGAGGGACAGGCCCGAGGCGGTTGTCGACAAAGCAATTGAAAATACCGTATAAGAGATTCCGAAATGGTCAGAAAATCGTCCCGAGATTATTGATTTACTATCTTTGAACATTCCTCCTGTGGAGGGACAGGCCCGAGGCGGTTGTCGACAAAGCCATTGAAAAATACCGTATAAGAGATTCCGAAATGGTCAGAAAATCGTCCCAAGACTAGTATGTTTCACTATCTTTGAGCATCCCTCCTGTGGTGGAGGATGACGATTAATAAATGACCGGGGGTCGTGTTCACGCGGCGGCGCCCTGTATGACGATTAGAAAAAATTGGCCGCGGGCTGGAAAACTATTTTTTTGAATCGTTCTCCTCCAGTCAGAAACTTGTGCAGACATAGGAGACATAGCAGAAAACTATGTTTTTAATCGTTCTCTCTTGTTTGTTATTAATCGTCATCCCGCATGAAAAGATATGCCGAAATGGTCCGAAACTTGTCCCGAGACTAGTTGTTTTCACTAGCTTTGAGTATCCCTCCTGTACAGGGACAGGCCCGACTTAATGGAGGATGACGAATAATAAATGACCGGGGGTCGTGTTCACGCGGCGGCGCCCGGGATGACGATTAGAGAAAACCGGCCGCGGGCTGGAAAACCATTTTCTTTGAAATCGTTCTCCTCCAGTCAGAAAAAATTGTGCAGAAACAGCAGACAGCTATTTTTTTGAATCGCTCTCTCCCATTTTTTTTATTAATCGTCATCCCGCTATCTTTGGTCATCCCTCCTGTAGAGGGATGAGGAGGAGGAGGAGGAGGAGGAGGAGGAGGAGGAGGAGGAGGGAGGAGGAGGAGGGAGGAGGGTATCCCTCCTGTAGAGGGACAGGCCCGACTTGCGCATGGGGGGCGGGGCACGGGGCCGGCGCCGCGGCACGCGCCCTCGGCCGCGCGGCGCGCCGCGCGGCAGGCTGAGGGCCGAGGGCCCGGCCCGGAGGAGCAGCGACGCCACCGCCGCGCGGGGGCCCCCCTGCAGCGAGGAGGTCCGCGACTTGGCATCGCTCGGACGTGTGCGTTTTTCCTTCGGCGAGGGCCATCGAGGAGCATCCTTGATCACTTGGCGAAAAAAGCCACGCACGAAACCGAAAGAAAGCACAGGGAATGGACGTCCGAGCGATGGCGAGGGGGCCCACCTGCAGCGAGGAGGTCCGCGATGCTTGTGGAAGCCGGTTGATGGAGAGGAAGCATGCTGCCAAATCATTTCCAGGTGTCTTAACATGTTCCAGGCATGTTTTAAACAATGTAAAGAACAGGTTTGTGAAGCATGTTTAGAGCATGGTTTACACATTTAAAACGCATCTTACGTTATGCCAACGGAGTCCCCCACATAAAGATAGCAACGGTTTCGTGGGACCCATGGAGTACGACAACATCAACACGAAGGAGAAGCTCATCGAACGAGTAAGTACGCACGAAAGGGCAGACGAAAGAAAGGAGAAGGGAGGACAGGTGCTCAGGAAACGAAGCCTTGTAAATAGTACGGTTTCTTGATACCCTCCTCGCTCTGGGGCCCCGCTGGAAGGGGGGAGGGCTACGAAACCTGGTGAAGAGCAATGCTTTCCGCGACCCTCCTCGTTCAAGCGCGGCCTCTCTGGAGGAGTGGAGGGGGGACACGAAACCGTGTAAACTGCATTGTTTTCCTATACCCTCCTGGAGGGGGAGGAGGAGGAGGAGGAAGAAGAGGATAAGATGGATGATGGTAAAGAGCAGCAGCAGGAACCGCAACAGGAGCAGCAGCGGGAGGATGACCAGGAGTATGAACATGAGAAGGAGGAGGGTCGGGTGGGCGGGTGAGTCGCCCAGGCGTCCAAGGTCCGATTCGTGAGGTTGGTCTGGGTGTTCTCTTTTTCCTCACCCATGTCAGTGGGAGGGGCACGAAACCATCTAAATAGTATGGGTTTCCGATACCCTCCTCGCTCAGACGGGGCCTCCCTGGAGGGGTGGGAGGGGCACGAAACCATGTAAACAGTGTGGGTTTCCGATACCCTCCTCGCTCAGACGGGGCCTCCCTGGAGGGGTGGGGGGGGAACGAAACCATGTAAATAGTTTGGGTTTCCGATACCCTCCTCGCTCAGGCGGGGCCTCCCTGGAGGGGAGGGAGGGGAACGAAACCATGTAAATAGTTTGGGTTTCCGATACCCTCCTTCCCTGGAGGGGTAGGAGGGGCACGAAAACATGTAGATATTATGGGTTTCCGATACCCTCCTCGCTCAGGCGGGGCCTCCCTGGAGAGGTGGGAAGGGCACGAAACCATGTAAATAGTATGGGTTTCCGATACCCTCTTCGCTCAGGCGGGGCCTCCCTGGAGGGGAGGGAGGGGAACGAAACCATGTAAATAGTATCGGTTTCCGATACCCTCCTCGCTCAGGCGGGGCCTCCCTGGAGAGGTGGGAGGGGCACGAAACCATGTAAATAGTATTGGTGTCCGATACCCTCCTCGCTCAGACGGGGCCTCCCTGGAGGGGTGGGAGGGGCACGAAACCATGTAGATAGGTTGGGTTTCCGATGCCCCCCTCGCTCAGGCGGAGCTTCCCTGGAGGGGTAGGAGGGGCACGAAACCATGTAAATAGTATGGGTTTCCGATACCCTCCTCGCTCAGGCGGGGCCTCCCTGGAGGGGTGGGAAGGGCACGAAACCATATGAATAGTATGGGTTTCCGATACCCTCCTCGCTCAGACGGGGCCTCCCTGGAGGGGTGGGAGGGGCACGAAACAATGTAAATAGTATGGGTTTCCGAGACCCTCCTCGCTCAGGCGGGGGCCCCCCGGAGGGGTGGGAGGCGGGAGGCGGGAGGGAGAAGGAGAGGATGTTGGGGGGAAAACGAGAACCCCACTCAGGATGTGGGGAATTCAACGATAGGACTGTTAGAGTGTCCATTGTCGTGGCATCCACAACACGATGCCTCCCCAGACGTGATCGCATCGTCGTTTGAAAAAGCAGGAAAAAAAACATCAGGGCAGGAGGTGTTTGGCCATTTTCGGCCCCTGGGGGGCCTCGCAGGGCCTCGGGACCGTCCAAAAACTTCTCCGGACGAAGAACCGGTCCCGGGGAAAGGGTCGGGACTTCCAGGGACGCCGTCCTGAAAAAAAGCCGGACGTCGCATGTCTGGGTCCCCGAGCTGGAGGCTGAGCTGGGGATCTCTCGAGCGAGAGGGGGGGGACCACAGCACCGGGGGTAGACCCCCCTTGCCTCCTAGAGATCTCCTCGCCCTGGTGGTGCTGGTGTCGCCGCCGTTCCTGGCTCCCGGAGGGAAGGAGGGCACAGCGGGGGGGGCGGAGGGGGGGCGAGCGGGGGGGCCCGCCCTGTGCGAGGCTGGCCTACCTGTTTGCGGGCGGAGCGCGCCCCATGGTGGAGCCGAGCCGTCTCCGCTGCGCCGCGCTCGCCGGGCGCGTGCTGACGGTCAGCGACGACGAGGCCTGCGAGGAGAGGGGGACCGGGGCGCCATGCTCAGAGTGCGCTCGCAGGTCATGAGGTGGGTCCCGCTTTCTGGGTCGCTTGCGCCCTGCTTCGTCGATCGGTATTCGGTCTGGACGCTGATCTGGCTGGTCTGTCGATCGATGGGTATCGGGTTCATGTTTGGTTTTCCAGAACCAGCATGGCGCTCAGCGTTTCCTCGCAGAGCGGGCAAGTGTTTTTTTTCTCGCTAGGTCCTCCACGGACAGTCCTCTGCCCGGTTCGATTTTTCTTTTGGGCTGCGTTGTTCGTGTCCTGGATGGCTTGCGATGGCATCTGGAGGCTCTCGAACTGGGACGGGAGACGGGACTCTCGAGTAGGAGCCCCTGGGAGCAACCCCTATTGGGGCAGTCTGGGTGAACAGCAGCACGACGGTTGACACCGACGTCCTGAAGACAATCGAAGCGTGTCTGAGCTGCGCGGCACCGCTGATTTGAAACATCTTGTGAGTTGAAGGCTCCTCTCCCATTGCAAACATCGGCGCTTGCGGCTGGCCCTTCGCACTCTGAAGTTCTCATCCTGGAAGCAACGCCTCTCCGCTGCACGCGCCTGTTCTGCACTGTTGGCGCCGAGATCCACTCGGCCAGTCCTTATACCGCCTCAACAGCTGGGATAGTACTCGCGCGTGCTGCTCTGTCAGGGCTTGGAGGCCCTGGTGCGGTAGTTCCCGGAGGAGGAGGAGGAGGAGGAGG